GCGTCTGCCAGAGCTTGGAGGCCAGGTGAGGCTGGGCACCCCGTGAATGGGTAGCTCCACGTGGACTCAGGGTCCCTCCACTGCAAGGTCCACAGACGGGGTCCCGGGGGGCAGGGAGCTTGCCCAGGCCTCGCAGACTGTCCAGCACCGTGCTGGGAGTGGCAGACTTCCGTGGTCACTCGCTGTGTCAGCAGCCAGGCCAGGGCTTTGCTGGGTGAGTGGGGGGACACAGGCCTCTTCACGTCAGCCTGAGTGTCCATCTGCCCCCTACGGGGGCAGGAGCGGGAGCCAGCTCAGGGGGAGAGGGCTGTGTATCCAGGGGTCAGGCCCTGCTGCTCTGAGGTCTTATCACTCCCCTGTGCCCCGGACTCATCCTAGGTCTGCAGGTCATGATAAGGGTAGCCTGGGGGTCCAGGGGAAGTCCCAAGCGAGGCCAGGGCAGGACCAGTGCCGGGGGGGGGGGACCTGGGGGGCACGTTGGGGAAGGAGTGTCTGTCCAGAGCCCCCAAATTACTGAGGCCGAGTCTGGTTCCAGGAAAGCCGGCCCCAAATGATAGACTAGAGCCGTGGGCAGAGGCCAGGCTGCCCATCCCCGCCCACTCTGGGCACAGAGACTTGCAGGGGGGGGGGGGCTCTGAGCCCGAGGGCCTGGGGGTGCTCCTCTCTCCAACCTGCAGGGAGGGGGTGCTCTTTGGGGTACAAGCTGGGAGTCTAGGTCCTCAGGAGAAGATACAGGGCCTCACCCTCATCCTCTGTAACCTTAACAATCTGGATCTGCCAGGTGACATGACCTGCTGCCAGGTGCAGCAGGGGTGGGTGTACACGGGTGCTTGTCTGATGACTGTGACTGAGAGGCGGGGACCCTGGGCAGCTCCCAGAGGTCAATCTGAGGTGCCCAGGAGGGACCCGGGGCTCCTGGAGGTCACTCAGCTTATCCCCAGGCTGTGGCGGGTGCCCGTAGGTGGGGAGGCGGTGCCAGTGGGGCCGGGCTGTGGCTGCTAGCCCTCGCCATCCAGAGCCCGGTCAGCAGAGCCGGGCCCTCAGGCTCCTGTAATTACCAGGGTGGGAGCTGTGGCTGAGCGAGGGGCAGGGGTGACTCCTCCAGGGCAGGCAGTCTCTGAGGCCTCGCGGAGGACCCCGTCCCTCAGACCCAGACGCACCATGGCCAGGCAGGCCTGTCCCTGTCGTCCCTGGGCCCCGTTGGTGCAGCCCCACGGTGTGGACATAAAGCCCGGGGAGGTAGGAGCATGCGTAATGCCCTGGCCGTGGCTGTGGGACCCACCAGTTATTGATTACCTGCCTGCTAAGCACTTTATGCAGATTAACCCATTCAGACCTCACAAGCACAGGAAGCAGGGCTTAAAGTTAGGACACAGACACAGGAGGACATGAGCACAGAGAGGTCCAGTCACTTACCCAAGGTCACCCAGCAGGGCACGTGGAGGAGCCAGGATCAGAGCCCAGATGGTCTTGCTTTGGAGGCCATGCTGCTCTGAAGGAGGCAGGGTGCGCATGGGGTGATGACGCCTGTGTTTGGGGGGTGCCTTGCCCGGCTGATGGGGCAGGGAGAAGCCTCAGGTCACATCTGAGGCTGGGCCGTGCCCCCAGGCCGGTGTGAGTGTCCCCTTGGTCTTAGTGAGGCCTGTACCCTATCAGCAGGTGGACATGGCTTCTCCGAGGTCATGAGGGCCTAGCAGGGGTGGAGTGGGGGCCTCAGGAGTGTTGTGAGCAACCAGCTCTCCGGGTTACAGGCCCCTCTTCACCAAGAGCCACAGAGGAGGAACTTGGGGGCCTGCAGGTGGGGACATGCCCGTCCCAGGGGCCTTGGACCAGCCAGGCCGCAACATTGTTACTCCTGGGGCCTCAGCCTAGATGGGCAGTTGTGCAGAGCTGGGCATGGAGGCCTCCAAGCTGCACATCTGGGCTTCGTTTGGGGGTATGGCCATGGTCACACTCAGCAAGCTCATCCAGGGAGCATTGTTGTTGGGAGCATTGCTGACACCGGCTCTGGTGACTCTGAGCCCCAGCCTGGGACACAGGAGATCGGTGTCCAAGAGGTCAGGCTGCAGAGGGGCCTCAGGAGGGGCGACCCTGGCCTGAGTGGTGTGATGAGAGCTGTCAGGGGGCTAGGACCCTGAGCGGGTAGCAAATCTATAGGGCTAAGCTGCAGCGGGGGTGGTTTGAGGGGAGCAATGGGGAGGAGAGGTCAGGACGGGAGGGGTGAGGATGGAGAGGTGAGGACAGGAGAGGTGAAGATGGGAGGGGTGAGGATAGGAGAGGTCAGGGGGAACAGGTCAGGACGAGAGGGGTGAGGGCGGGAGCAAAGAGCCCACCTGAGGGCTGGTGTTCAGGGGGCAGATGAGGCCAAGCCAGGGGCGCCGCAGGATCCCCAGGACACAGCGGGGCCATGGGCCTTGGACAAGAGGGGCCGGGGAGGGGTATAACTGGGGTCAGCTGGTGAGCACATCCACAGTGTTTCCTTGGCCCAGGGAACAGGACGCGGCTGAGGGTCGGAGCGGCGGGACGGCCGCCATGGCCGGTGTGCACGCCTGGGAGGCCACTCTGGGTGGGAGGCCCGTCCTGTGGCCCACCAAACCTCAGCCTCCAGGAAAGAGGCTAAAAATAAGGCTGCGGTGGGAAGAAGGGAGGGGCACGTGGGCCGAGCCGGGCGGGAGCCCAGAGGAAAACCCGAGACGCCGTGAGCGGCTGTGACACATGCTTCCCAAGCCAGCGGCCAGTGGGTCACCGCTGCCTGCGGCCCCAGCCCCTTCCTGGCTGGTTGGAGGGAGAACGGCCTGATGGCCCCAGTGTCTGGGGAAGGCGCATCCTGCAGCTCGGGCTGTGGGCGCAGGCCCCCAGGGTGCTGGGGTAGGTGCATCCCAAGCATCCTTTGCCTCGGGGTCTGGTTGGCTCAGCCGTTCTTGGGACATCTATCCGGATGTGGGAAAAATGGGTCTGAGGAGGTCAGGGGAGGTTTCCTGGAGGCACAGGCGAGCACCGGTCACCAAAGGCTCTGGGGCGGATCATGTGCCGTCAGGGCTACGGTGTGCCCCCTGGGGAGGCAGTGGGTTCACGGGGACCACTGTGACCTGCCGGGCTGCCCAGCGCTGGCCTATGGTGACTGCAGACTCATGGCCCTGTTAGATGTGGACAGGCACCCAGGGTGGGGGGGCGACACTCCTGCCCCCTCCTGCCCCCTCCCCGCTGCACCCCTCTGTAACCACACCTGCCGGGCAACAGCCTCTGCCCTGGGTCCTGGAGACGACCCACCGCGATCTGCTGTGGCTCCACCTGCTATGGGGGGCACGCAGCATCTACTCAGCCATCCACCTGTGGGCAGGGCCTGGGCTGGGGCCACACGGTCAGGTGTGTGCGGGGTGGGAGACCTCATCTAGGTGCTGGGCCTGGTCCACTGGGTCACCTTGGGCCGCTGCGCAGGGCAGACGTCGGGGCAGGGATGGAAATCCATCCACCGAGCCTCACGCGTGTCATCCCCGTAGAACTCATGACCCCTGCCGTGGCCAGTGTCCACCATGACCCCGACGGTGGACGGGGGGAGCGTGGGGGCCCCTGACATATTGAGGGCGATGGGAGGGGCAGAAGCCAGGGAGGGTTTCCCGAAGGAGGAGGCACCTGACTCCCGTTTTGCAGGAGCCTCTGGACGAAGCCCAGCCTCCTGGGCGGATGTCGGGGGCATGGTGTGGGGGGCGGGAGGTGTCCTAGAAGTGGGGTCACCTGCCACCCTCCCCGTTGGAGGAGACCCTGGGGTGTGAGCGGAGGGGTGTGGGGGCCTCGGGCTGTGGGGCTGGTGGTGTATGCGGCGGGGGGGGATCCCCAGGGTGGCCAGGGTGCAGTCTATGCAGTCCCCCGTGGGGGCCCTGCCCCCCACCCTCCGTGGCCATCCAGTTATTAACTTGTTAACGGGCCTCAGCAGCCTCTTCATTACGATAATTCTGCGGATCCTGCTGCACAGAGGTGGGTCAGGCCCTGGGGAGCCTTGGGCGGGGCCGCTCCCCCCTTCCCTGCTGCGTGACCTGGGTGGGCACAGACTGTCGTGCCTCAGTTTCCCTGCATGTCCGGGGGTAACAGTCCCGGGCTCCTGGGGTCACCTCGCCATCATGAGGAGCTCCAGGCCGTGAAGGCAGGTCCTTTCCCCCCTCTGTCCCCTGTGCAGGGACTTCTGGGGCCTAGCCCCCTCTGCCACTCCTTCCTCCTCATCCCTTCTGGGGGCAGATGGTTGGTGGTCGAGGTCGGGGAGCCCTGCTACCCTTGAGTGGGTGGAGGTAGGGCCCTGGTGCCTGTGGGCCATGCTGGGAGCCCTGGTCATGCTCTGGGAGAGGCAGGGCCCAGGGGTCTGACTTCAGGTGTCCCTCACGCCCTGAGTCCTGCCCCCCCCACACACACATGCAAAGTCCCAGCAGGTCAGCAGAGTTGAGGGACCTGGGAGAGGGGCGGGCATGGCCTCCAGGGGTGGCCGTCCCTCCACGAGCCTGTCAGTGTCCAAGGTTGGCTGGTGAGCATGGCACCCGTGTACCTGTGCATGCACAGGGGTGAGTAGGTGTAACACTGCTTATGACCCTCTGCCCCCTCCTGGGCTGGAAGGCTCCCTTGCAGGGCTCAGGGCTGCAGTCCACTCTCTGGGCCTTGTGGTGCCCCCGAGGGCAGGGCCCAGGGTGGGCTGGGGTCACGGGGAACCAAGTGACCACGGGAGGACTGAGTGACCATGGGGGACTGAGTGACCACAGGGGACCAAGTGACTATACGTATACTCAGGCCCCCGCAGTGCCCAAATGACAGGCAGGACTCTGGGGTGGGCACAGGAGGCCTGGCTGGGTCAGGGTAGCAGGTGGCCCAGGCACACTGGGCGGGTGGTGCTCTGTCAGCCAGGCCAGGGGGCTTGCCGCTGGAAGGAGGCCGGGCTGGGGCTGGGGTCTCCGAGGCAGGAGGGTGGGGGTGGCTGGGCAGGCACCCACGTAAGCAGCCTCTGTCTTTCCTCCCAGGCGTCCTTCTGGACATCCAGCAGCACTTTGGGGTCAAGGATCGAGGCGCTGGTTTGCTGCAGTCAGGTGAGGCCCCCCACCCAGGCCCCTCCACGCCTGCTGAGCGCCCCTGGACCTGACCCACTGGGAAGAACGTGTGCTTCGTGTCCGACCTCATGACCTTGTGCTGTGGGTCCTCAAGGATGTGACCTCCCCAGGCCGCCATGTCCCCTTGAGCTGCCCAGTAACAGCCTTGGGGGGTGGGGGGCACATAGGAGGCTGGCCAGAAGTCCAGGCCCCAGAGCTGACCCTGCCTGTGGGTCTAGGCTCTACCCCAAGACTGGCGGGGGGAGTGCTTGGAGTGCACAGGGTGCTGTTGGCAGCGCCTCGGTGACCCCATCTCCATAGCAACCCCCCCACACTATTCCTCCCATCGCCATCAGGCTGGGAATCCTCTCAGAGATGTCAGGGCAGGAAACCCCCTTGTTCAGCCCCACAGCCGTTCTGAACCTAGGGCGGGGGCCGAGGAGGTAGGGGGTAGGCTAGGCCTGGGGTCCTGAGCCCCCTGAGCTGAGGCCGTATGGCAGGTGTGAGCAGGGGTCCCAGCCTGTCGACCCTGACCTGGGCCCATCTCTCCTTGTGCTCCCCACGCCAGGCTGATCCGCCCCACAGCCCCCAACTCGCTCTGTGGCTGAGGGCCCGGTTCCCTTGGCACCAATTCCTTCTCGCCCCGGCGTCCACTGGGTCATGAGGCCTCGAGGCCTGGTCAGATGTGTGGGAGGAAGTGCGTGGTCTGCATTCCAGAGAGTGAGCCCCTTCCCCTGCCGAGCTCTCCCCAGAGGGAGGGGTGGAAGGGGACTGCTCTGTCCAGGAACCTGCCTGACCTGTCTGGGTGGCATTCCAGGGAGCACAGTGCCAGCCACCAGCCTCCTCGGCCTCTGAGCTCACCCCTCGGTCAGGCCTGCAGCCTGGGCTGCTTTCCCAGACAAGGTCTCTGGGGCTCAGAGACAGGGTGAGCTGGGGCAGGGGTGAGGCTTGTGGTCCAGCCCCCAGGGTGGCCCATCCCTGCCTCTGCCCACATCACCCCACCCAGGACAGGCGCCTCTAGCCTCCTGGGCTCGGAGCACACGGGAACTGCCCTCACAGCTGGACCATGGGGTGGGGGGTGGCAGGGGAGGGCAGGACAGAGCCCAGCCTCCCAGCACCCCCACTCTGTGCCCCCTGAATCGGGGGGGGGGCGGGGATGCACTGAGTCTCACCCACTCCTGGCCTTGCTGACGACAGGCAGGGTGCCAGATCTGCCCAGGTTCCTGCACCACCCACCCCGGGAGGTCAGGGCCAGTGAGCCTCCACGGACAGTCCTGCTGCTGCACTTGAGTCCCCGGCCATCTTCCTGGCTGAGAGACAGAAGCTGTGGCCGCCCCCCGACCCCTGGTGACCTGGCCAGAGGTGGACACAACACCCAGTGGCATCGTTGGGTCTGGTCCTTCCTACCAGACTCTCTGTGCACAGCTTTACTCCCCAGACAAGGGGACAGAGGTCGAGACAGAAACTGACTTGGGGCCTGGGATTGGGCCTCTGGGGACCATCCTCCTGGCTTGGGGAGGTGATACAGGAAGCCTCCAACCAGTGTCCCAGTACCTGGTGCCTTAGTCTCTCAGAGATGCCTCCCCTGTGGCCTTCCTCTAGCACCCACCCTGGGCATAGCTGGGCTGAGAGTCCTCACCCCTTTGGCTGCCGGAGCCAAAACGCTAGGCAAGCTAGACCTGATGTGACTCAGTGGCCAATGAGGCAATCACCTAATTGGCTGGGGCCCCAGGCACCTGTCTCTTCCCCAAGCCCCTGATAAGGTGGGAGCCAGGTGGAGGGCGCCAGCCAGGTGCTGTGGTTTGCCCAGATCAAAGGGCTGGGTGGAGAGCTGGGTGTCTGTGCGTCTGGTGGGGGGGAGTTGCACCCAGAGACAGGGTGGGGGTGGCGGAGGGTGAGGGTCAGGTCCAGACCTGCCCCCATTGCTCTCCTGGGACCCAATCTTGTGCACCAACTGGGGGGAGGGCCTGCCTTTGGCCATCCCCTTCACTGCCAGCTCCAAGCTGGGCCCCAAGTCCCCGCAGATGCAGGGCCCGGCCTCTGCCCATGCCCGTGGTGGAATCACCGTGCTGGGCACTCGAGATTTTGGGAAACCAGGAGCTGGCTGTACCCCACAGCCAGCGGGAGCTGCCACAGAGCCCAGGGCTGGGCCCTACCCCATGTTCCCATGATTCCCTCACTCAGTAGAGGCGGAACACATGCCCAGGCCCTGCCCAGGCCCCCCGCGTAGGGACCCAGGGACACGGTGCCAGTCTCTGTTGGCCGCAGGTGGAGAAGGCTTCCCCGAGGAGCGGACGTTTGTGTGGGGCTCCGAAGGGTGGGTTAGAGCCTGCTCAGGGTAGGGACGTCCGGCCGTCTGTGGGAGTGGACATGGGGAGCCCTCTTTCCCCTGCCCCCAGCGGGTAAAATGTGCCAGGGAGATGTCGCCCATGTAGCTGAGCTGGAAAGCCAAGGTGGGGGATTCCCAGGTGCCGGTTTGGAGAACCGAACAGAGAAGCAGGATGGGGAGCGGGTGTCAGAGCCAAGCGGTGTGGGGCACCTGGGGACCACTCTCCATCACGGGCATTGGTTACAGTATTTTTACTATAAACATTTTACGATGAAAAATTTTAAGTATACATAAAAAGGAGAGAGAACAGTGCCATGCCACTCCAGAGCTGCCACTCGGTCGGCTCAAACGTGGCCCTCACCGCCAGGCGCAGGGGCTCTGGGGTTTCTGCCCTGAGGGTCGGCCCGGTGCAGCCTTGGCCTCTGGCTTCGCCTGGGTGACTCAGTTTCCTCCCAGAACCCAGGGCCCGCTCTCTGTGTCCAGCTGCACTGCAGGCCAGCGGCAGCTTTTCTGTTGTCCATCCCTGCTCTGGTGCGGGGTCTGTGCAGAGCGTGGAGGGTTTCTGGGCCCTTCCGCACTTAGGGCTTGGTGGAGGCAGGTCTGGAGCTGCTCCCTCGGGTTCGATGGCCCCGGGGCCCGTGTGGGACGTGCTGCTACCCCACTGTGAGCAGAGCCCCTGGGGAGGATGCCCACCGATGGGGAACGCGGAGAAGCCGTCCCTGAGCAGGTACCTGTGAGTCTGCCCTGGGGGCTTCGCCACCGTGTGCATGGTTTCCACAGAGAGAGTGCACCCCCCGAGAGTGGCCCAGCGCCAAGAGCACGGGGAGCTCCCTAAACACACCTGAACCCCGCACTCGCAGGGGTGTGTGCTGACCCATGACACTCAGACCCAGTCGGAGAGAAAATTAGCAAATCAGAAGACCCTGGGGGACACAGTGGGCGGGGAGGTGGGCGGCAGGCAGTACATGCCACACGTGCTGCACACGCGTCCACTTCAGGGTCCGGGGGCCAGAGAAGGCTCCGGAGCAGGCGGGCCCCTCAAGAGGCACGCATGGGGATGCCCCGTGTGGGGCCATGGGTGGCGGCGGGTGAGGGTAGGGGGACAGCGCAGGGCTGTGGTTGGTGCCGTCACGAGGCCGATCCAGGGCGGGGATGGGGACAGAGGAAGAGCCAGCTCAGACTGAAACCAGACGGCAGTGTCCTGGCCTCGCTCCGTCCCCATGTGTCCGGCCCAGCCCTCCTGTCCCAGGGACGCCCAGAACCCGACCCTGTGAGGCCTGCAGGACTGCCTGGCACTTTGGCCTTGAGTGGGGGCGGGACGGGTGGTTCCCTGTGTTCCTGTGGGACGTCTGAGCACCATGGACACCCAGCTGTGGACACAGGGCAGTGCTGGGTCCCCCATCGTCCATGCCCTGTGGGCACGGCCGGCCCCAGTGACCCTCCCTGCCCACAGGTGACAGAGGACAGCAAGTCTCCCCAAATGACAGGTCCACTAGCCCCGGTTCAGCTGAGGCTAAGGTCGGGGCTGGACCTGAGCTCAAGGGTGGTGGGAGGGGGAGGCCGGGACCCCCAGCTCAGACCTCAGCGGCTCCAGCCCCAGGACCACCTTCTGGGGCTTGCAAGGTCAAGTGCAGCCCGGCAGGCAGGGTCAGCGGGTGCAGCACCCTCCATGGGGTGGTCCTGGGCCCGGAGTTGGGGCAGTCCCTCCCAGGCTGCGCTTGGCCTGCAGCCCCCACCCCCCACTCCCCCAGGGGTTCCCAAGGTCATCCCCCTGCCCACCCCACCCATTGTCCTTGTCCTGTGGGCTCAGCCACATGCCCTAACAAGGGCTTCCCTATGCTCCAGGACCACGGGATGTCCTCGTGCGGGAATGGCTGGGAAGGCCGCCCATCCTGAGGTCGAGGAAGCCTGCAGCCTGGCCTCTTCCTTCCCAGCACCGTGGCCTGCTGGCCAGCTATGGGGTACATCCCCGCCAGGGACAGCATCCGTGTCAGGCTGTGCCTCCCCAGGGCCCGGGCAGGTTCTCCCTCTGCCGTCCACCATGAGCAGAGGGGAGGGGGCTGTGAAGATGGACTGATTGCTGTCTGTCCAGGCCCTGGACACCCCGTCCCCCAGGGGGAAGGCCCCAGGTGTCCGGGTCAGGAGGGCCGTGGGGAGATTTCCACCACTCTCTGTGGTGCCCAGCTCTCTGTGGGATGTCATGGTGAGGTCCCTGGATGCTCAGGTGGGCGGAGGGGACAGGCTGCACCTGCACCCCTACTTGCCATCCAGGTGCCTCTGCAGCACCTGGGGTGCTGGGGACACCCCAGAGTGGCCTACGCTGGGTAGAGCCAGCTGTTCCCTTGGCCTGTCCTGGGGGGGAGCGTGGACATGCCGTCCCGTCCACAGTCCCGGCCCACCTCCCTGCTGTCCCGAGCATGCCCTGAGTGGTCCCGTCAGCCGGGCGCCCCTGTCCCTGCCCTGCAGTCTGTAGTGGGATCGAGTGCTAGGACCCCAGGTTAGATTGGGGTGTAAACTGGCCTGGCCAGCCCCTGCCCCTCGCAGCCATGTGACCTCTGTCCTTGTGGCCTCTGTGTTTCTCTGTGGGAGGAAGAGGGTAGTGCACAGCAGGGAGGTGACCCACACTTACATCCAGGGTGTGTGCTGGGACCTGATGGTTAGTGTCCTTGGTGACTGTAAGCACTGTGCCTCCCTAACCATCGGGGGCCCCCTTGCCTGTGTAGATGTGATTCACAGTCCCAGGTTTAAGTAGCATCATCCCGGTAAACTCCTACATACCCTTCAACGCCAGCGCTGACATCACCGCCTCCAGGAAGCCTCTCTGCCTCCTTCCCCCAGGGTGGCCTGCAGGCAGGCACAGGCACAGAGGGAACACAGCTTTCTCTTCACTCACACCGTGGGCCCTGTGGAGGCCACATCCGCTCCAATCTGGGCCGGGGAGGGGGTGCTGGGGGGGCTGGGCGGTGGCCCAGCTGGAAGTGCCGTCTGTGGGGTCCGCAGGCTTGACCTGGGCATGGGTCAGTTGTCACCGTCTGCCGGGCGCCCCCTCCTTGCGCTACTTCTGTGCTTACATCACACACGCAGCCACTGAGCGGCATCCAGGAAGGTCGCGCGAGCCTCAAGGTGAGGACCATGTCACGTCGGTATCGGCATCTCAGTACACACCTTGCACCACCGCCCGTGTGGGCCATGTGCACGCATCCCCACCTCACCCCTGCGTGGTGCACACCTGCGTCCACAGGACCCAGCCTGTGACCCGGCTCCAGGCAGGGAGGCTGAGGCTGGCTGGTGGGCGGGAGGGCCCTGTGCAGGGTCATGCCAGCTCTGCCCCGGTGCCCCCTGACAGCACGCACCCACACCCTGCCAGTCTCTCCTTCCCACCCTCTTGCCCCTCCCTCCCTCCCTCCGCCCTGCCCATCTTCCTCCCCATCCCCCTGCCCCGCCCCCTGCCCCCCCTCCCCGCACCCTATGCACTGGGTCTGCACTCTGTCTGATGGAGCCCTGAGGTCACCGCCCGAACCCCTGGCCACCTGGGCCATCTGCCCATCAGCTGTGCGGTGGCCTTATGGGGGATGCGGGAAGGGCAGGGAGCTGCCTGCCCCCTGACCCCCAGGGCCCCACTCACCACTGGCAGTGATCTCCCATGGCGCTGACGCTTTTGTTCTAGAAGGAAACCAGGTCGTGCCAGGGCCCTGCCCAGCGTCCCACTGTTTTCCTTCCCAGCCACAGGACCCACAGCCACCACGGCGTGCTGTGAGGTGCTGCCTATCCAACCTGCCCCCCTCCGTCCCGTCCCCTTCTGTCCTTCCTCACCAGCCACTCTGGCCTCTTTGCTCTTTTTCAAATATGTAGACCGTACTCCTGCCCCAGGGCCTTGGCACTTGCCGTTCTTGCCACATTTGCGCGATTTGTCTCATCTCCTCCAGGTCTCTGCTGAAATGTCACCCTTTCTGACCCTTGTACCTGGAATCCTCAGGTCTGCTTTGCGTCAGGCACACATTTCCTGTCTCCTGTTTCCACCCCGTTACCCTCCTCAGTGCTCCTCACTGTCTGACGTACCATGGTCTCCACTTTATCGTGGTTGTCCTTCCCAGGAGGGCAGGGGTTTCTGTTTTGTGGTGTGGATGGATGAGTGGGCAAAGACCGTGTCTGCCGGTGTCAGGGGGGATGGGGGGATGGGGGGGACAGGGGCTCCAGGCCAGAGGGGCCCTGATTTGCTGTGTGGCCCTGGGGAGGCTGCTTTCCCTCTTTGAAGCCCCTTCCCCAGGTGGATGAGGTGGCAGGGACTCACACTTGGAATCAGACAGGGTCACTGCCCCACAGACTTCGGCTTCCTGTGGGACCTGAGGGAGCAGGTCTCGTCTCCTGACTGCTGCGGGGCGGGGGGCTCCTGGGGCTGGATATTGGGGTCCCCAGGCCTCAGGCTGGACGGTGGGGCCCCTGGTGCCACGGATACCTGCCCCCTGTCACGCTCTCCTCTCCCGCACAGTGTTCATCTGCAGCTTTATGGTGGCAGCCCCCATCTTTGGCTACCTGGGTGACCGCTTCAACAGGAAGGTGATCCTCAGCTGCGGCATCTTCTTCTGGTCGGCTGTCACCTTCTCCAGCTCCTTCATCCCCCAGCAGGTGAGGTCTGTGCCCCTGCACCCCCCACCACAGTGTCTGGCCCTGTCCCTGCTGGGCTGGCCGCCCCCGTTGACCAGTTGTCCTGCAGCCTGGGCTTCTGGGCCTGTTCGCTCCAGCCCCAGATGGTGTCTGCCCAGGGCAGTGGGGCATGGGGTCCTGGCCCTGTGAACGGGAGGGCCCCCCACTGGCTGAGCTGCGTCTGAGAGACCCCGTTCCATCAGGAGCTGGCTGGCGGGTGCTGGTCCCAGCTCTGCGTCACCATGCTGTGCAGCCCTTGTGGGGTGGGGGTGTCACTGCCCCTCTCTGTGCCGCCCACAGTCTGCTCCTCATCCAGCAGCCCTCTGAGGGTCTGGCCAGTGCCCGAGGTCTTGGTGTAAGGAAGGCGTTTATCACTCGGCTGCCACGGTCTGACCCTGAAGGTCCCGACTCTGTGGTCTGTTCAGCCTCAGGATCCCAGGGCCTCTGTTTCTCCATCTATAGGATGTCTGGAACCCTGGTCAGCCAGGAGCTTTGTGGTGACAGATGGCTGAGCTGCCAGGGCCAGGTGGTATCCCACACATCACGATTTCCATTCTTTTTTTTTTTTTCAGTTCATTGTATTTTTATTTATTTTTTTATAAATTAATTTTTATTGGTGTTCAATTTACCAACATACAGAATAACACCCAGTGCTCATCCCGTCAAGTGTCCCCCTCAGTGACGATTTCCATTCTTTTGTCCACAAGGGAGAAATGTTGCTCTGGGGGGTAGTGAGTTCCTTGTCCGTAGCAGCATTCAAGCAGAGGAAGCATAGGCAGGTGGTGGCTGCTGTGCCCGGACACAGAGGGAGGAGGAGACGCTGCCCTGTCCTCAGCGGCACCCAAGCTGGGTGCGGGAAGAAGGGATGGGAGCCCCCAATGCACCCAGCCTCTGGGAGGGGCACCGAGCCATGGGTCCTCACTGAACACACAGTAGGGTCCTGAAATCTGTGGGGTCAGGGAAGGCTTCTGGGAGGAGGTGGCATTTGAGCCGGGAAGGCCGGCAGGTGATGGAAAGCCTCGAATGCTGTGGAGAGTGGGTCTTGCTCCTGGGGCAGAGGCGATTCCAGGGGACATGGACACAGACGGGAGAGCAGCCTGGCTGCCCAAGGGCTCCAGACAGGGAGAGCTGGGGACAAAGCGACGTCTAGACACGTGGACACAGTAGATCAGTTGCAGAGCCCAGGCAGCAGGTGCAGACCCTCTGGGAGGACCCAGCACTGGTCCCGCCATCCTTGGGAGATGCCACATGTGGCGGTGGTGGCAGTGAGGTCCCTGCTCACATCCCACTGGGCTGCGCCTCAGACTGCAGGTGCCCAGCATCACGGGTCTGTGTCTGTCGGGCGGGTGCTGCAGGACCCCACGGGTCCCTCCGCGACCCCAACAGACACACGGTGGCCCAGGCACATGGGGCGGCACACATGATGACCTAATGGGGGGGCCGGGACACCCTGGTCAGACGGGGTGTGGGCGCCGCGGGATGGGGCCCTGAGAGCGTGAAGGACATGTGCACGGACTGGCCCACTGGGCCCCAGACCGAGACTGAGGCTGGGAGCGAGGGGGCGCCAATGGGTGCCCTGCATGTCTGTGTTTGGAAAGTGTGCACAGCGTCCGTGTGTGTGTGTGCAGGAGGAGAACGCCTGGCGCAGCGGGTTTGGGGAGGCGGCCCGGACAGGGACAGAGGACTGCGCGCCCTGGAGCGGAGCGGGCTGCGTGTGAGGGAACAGCGCCTTTGTTGTGGGGAGCAGCGGGCTGTCCTGGGCAGGGCGGTGACCCGGGGCTGCCAGGGAAGTTCACCCAGTGGGGCAGCATGGGATTAAAGCCACACAAAGAACCATGTCTGAGCTCCCTGCACGGGGCGGCGGGGGCAGGAGGGGGACCCACAGCGCTGGTCGTGGGTGTCGGGAGGACGGGTACCCACGATCCGCAGACAGCCAACGGGAATCAAGACACATGGACAGCCCAACAGCCAAGCAGGCAAAGGCCGTGTGTGGGCAGCGGACCCCAGAGAGGGGATGGAGGGCAGGTCTGGCGCAGGTGGGGGGCGGCCAGGCCGGAGATGGGCAGACAGAGACCCCGGGGGAGGGCCACGTGTGGGCGACATTGGCCGGATGGGTGGTCAGGGTGGGGCCGGGAAAGATGACCAGGCTGGGTTCTCAGGCCTCAGGCAGCAGGGGGTCGACCCTGCAGCTGGCACGGCCCGCCCTTCCCCCTCAGCCGGCCTCGGCCGCTTGATGTGGTGGGGCGGGGGGCTTCCCCTTGGACACACTGCGGGGTCGGGAAGTCCAGCCAGGACCACCGCCACCCCTGGCCCGCGGGGGCCAGAGCGAGGCCCACGAGCTCCACCCTCCCACAGCACTTCTGGCTGCTGGTGCTGTCGCGGGGGCTGGTGGGCATCGGCGAGGCCAGCTACTCCACCATCGCGCCCACCATCATCGGCGACCTCTTCACCAAGAACACACGCACGCTCATGCTTTCCGTGTTTTACTTTGCCATCCCGCTGGGCAGGTGAGGTCGGGTGAGGTCCCTGCAGACATCCCCCCCACCTCACCCGAGGCTGGCGCTCGAGCATGCGGTGGCTGGCCTTGGAGCCATGGTGGGCCCCCCCCAAGAGCTCCGTCACCTGTGCCTGACCCCGTGTCCTCTGCAGCGGCCTGGGCTACATCACAGGCTCCAGCGTCAAGCAGGCAGCCGGAGATTGGCACTGGGCCCTGCGGGTAAGGACCCCCCAGCCCGCCCTGGGCCCCAGGCCATCCACCTCGGAGGCCAGACCCCCTCATGTGTGTCCCAGGGGTGTCGGGGGGGGGGCCCAGGTATCCAGCGGCCATCAGTTGGGGGACACCTCCCACGTGTCAGGTGTCAGGAGGCCCTGCGTCTGCTCCGGCCCGTGTGCGGGGGTCCCAGGGTCTGGGGCCCCTTCCTGTCCTGGGGTGGGGGGTCAGGCCGGTCTGCCGAGGCCCCAGGATGCCGCAATCAGAGGAAGCAGAGATCCCCAGTCTCGCGGACGAGCGGAAGCTGAAGACAAAGTGTTTTTTCCTCAAAAGCAGGAAGGAAGCAGCCTCCGTGGAATTTCTTGATGGGGGGGTGTGGAGAGGAACTCCCTCCATGGGCTCGTGGGGGTGGGGACCGACCTCCCTGCTCTGCGGCGCGGTGGGGGGGGCTGTCAGGAGGTTCTGTTCCTGGCTTTGGGCTGCACACGGGGGAAAAGCGCCTGGGCCCTTCCCTAGCGACAACCCCACCCCCATCACCAGTGGGAGCTTCGTGTCCACCAGGCCCCTGGGGCCTCCCTCAGCCCCCCAGGGCCTAACCCCAGTACCCCAGGACCCAGGCCCTCCCCTAGCACTCAGGCCCTCCCAGAGCCCCCCAGCCCTTCCCCTAGGCCACCAGACCCCCCCAGGACTCAGACCCCCACCAAACCCCCTAGGGCCTCCCCCAGCACTCTGGGCCCTCCCAGAGCCCCCAGCCTCTCCCTCAGCCCCCCAGGCCCCCCTAGCCCTTCTCCTAGGCCCCCAGGCCACCCCAGACCCGTAGGCCTAGCCCCTAGCCCCCACCATCACACCCCCACGGGTGTGGGTGGGCAGGGCTGGTCTCTGGCTCCCTGTCCTCATCATGCCCCCAGAGTCTATCCCTTTGCTTGTCTTTCTCTCTCTCCGTCCATCATCCATTTTTCTGATTTTCCATCATTAATTCACCAAGCATTCTGACCCTTCCTCAGACTTCGTCCACCCCTTCCATCCTGCCCCTGCTCCCCCCTGCACCCCCTGCCCCTGATAGTTGGTGGGGAGCTCCCAGGGCCCCATGGTGAGATGGAGCCGCGGGCCCTGGGCTCCCAGCTGCACCCCTGCCCCCAGGTGTCCCCCATCGTGGGCATGATCACAGGAACGCTCATCCTCATCCTGGTCCCAGCCACGAGGAGGGGCCCTGCAGACCAGCTGGGGGGGCAGCTGAAGGTGCGCACCTCGTGGCTCCGTGACATGAAGGCCCTGATCCGCAAGTGAGTGTCACTAGGAAAGGCCCGGGGGGCTGGGGACCCTGAGCCTGGGGCGGGGTGGGGGCTCCTGCGGGTGGTCCCCGGCTCAGCATCCCTGCCCCCGCGTCTCCCCAGCCGCAGCTACGTCTTCTCCTCCTTGGCCACGTCGGCCGTGTCCTTCGCCACAGGGGCCCTGGGCATGTGGATCCCCCTGTACCTGCACCGCGCGCAGGTCGTGCAGAAGTCGGCGGAGACCTGCAGCAGCCCGCCGTGCGGGGCCAGGGACAGGTGGGGCCCGGCAAGGGCGGGGGCGGTGAGGGGTGTCTGCGGGAGCCCAGCCCCCACCCATGCTGGTGCCCCGTCCCCACACAGCCTCATCTTCGGAGCCATCACCTGCTTTACTGGCTTCCTGGGCGTGGTCACGGGGGCAGGAGCCACACGCTGGTGCCGCCTGCGGACTCAGCGGGCTGACCCGCTGGTGTGCGCCGTGGGCATGCTGGGCTCTGCCATCTTCATCTGCCTCATTTTCGTGGCTGCCAAGAGTAGCATCGTGGGCGCCTACGTGAGTGCGGGGGGGGGGGGGGTGCCTGTGAGGGGGGAGGGTGCACCTGTGAGCAGGGAGGGCAAACCCGCGGTGGCGGGTTGGCCTCTGACCTAGGAAGTACAGTCTGACATCCCATGGGGAGGCCTCTCCCCTGCCCACCCTTGCTCTGTCCAGGCTCCTCCATCCGCCTGTCTGTCTGCAATCCCTTTGCACCTGTGTGCCAGGAGTGCAGGCTCCAGGAGGTGGTGGCAGGTGAGGGGCTCCCTGCCGGCAGCCTCGTGAGGTCCCTGACTGGATGCTCCACTCTCTCCTGGGCAGATCTGCATCTTTGTTGGGGAGACGCTGCTGTTTTCTAATTGGGCCATCACGGCAGACATCCTTATGGTGAGGAAGCCAGGGTCCCCGTGTACTCAACCAGGTCTCACAGGTCGTGTGGGACCAGGCTGTGTGGGACCAGGCTGTGGGGCATCAGGCTGCGGGGGACCAGGCTATGGGAGACCAGGCTGCGGGGCCTGCAGCCAAGAGGCCTGGGCATAGTGTGGGGTAGGAGTGGGATGTCTGTAGGCTCAGCTTGGCTGGGAGGCTGGTGGTGCCAGGCTGGCCTTGGGGGCGGGGGTGGTGGTGGGGGTTGCCGCCTGTCAGCTCCTCCCCCTAGCTCGCTGGGCCGGGTGCACCTGCCTGCGAGCCCTGCGAGCCCGTGGTGGGGCCAGCCGGGGACAAAGAGCCATCTTAGTCGTGGAAGGATGGGTGGGGGTTCATGGTCCTGATGACTGGCAGCCAGCAGTGTGCAGGGGGAGGGCTTGGGGACCCTCCCCGTTGGGGCAGGAGGAGTGGGGAGTGTGGGCGCCCCCGGGTGGGCTTGTCACTTGGGCTTGGGACACGCCAGGTCAGAGTGGGCCTGGAGTTGGGGTCTTGCCTGGGCTCCTTCTCCAGGAGTTCCGCCTGCCCCACCTGAGCTTCCTGCACATTGAGGAGGTGTGTAGCTGAGGGGGCAGGCCCGTGGCAGGAAGAAGGGGTGTAGGGGCAGGAAGAAGGGGCTGCACAGCCCTCGGCAGAGGGAAGGACACAGTGAGGTCGTGTCCTCCAGGGGCAACCCCAGCTGCTGGTCTCAGGGAAATCGTGTCCCATTTTAGGAAGTATCACAGCCATGTGACCAACCATGGCTGGAAACAGGAGCACACAATCCCGGCAGATCGTGCTGCCCTGCCCCCAGCCCTGTGGGGTGGGGGTGGGGGGCCCATGGGGCCCTCCGGTGCTCCTGGCTGGTGGGGAGGGAGGGAGGCTGTCCCCTGCAGGCCAGCCTCTGTCTCCCAGGGCTCTCGCAGAGGGGAACCAGCGTGATCCTCGGGTCGGGGGTCCCAGTGCCGGCGCCGTCGCCCAGGTGTTACCTGTGTGCAGGGCCTCGGGTTCCCGAGACCGCAGATGGGCTCCCCACCCCACCCCGGCGCTGGGGAGTCCGGGTACAGGGGCTGCAGGGGCGAGCTGACCCCAGGGCGAGGCTGGGGCTGTGCCCTGTGCCCTGTGCCCTCTGACCTCCTGCCTCTTGCACACAGTACGTGGTCATCCCCACGCGAAGGGCCACAGCCGTCGCCCTGCAGAGCTTCACCTCTCACCTGCTGGGGGACGCGGGGAGCCCCTACCTCATCGGCTTTGTGAGTATGGGCGAGCCAGGTGGGGAGGCTGCGGGAGGCGCCCCCTGACGCGGCCCCGCCCTCGCAGATCTCGGACCTGATCCGCCAGAGCACCAAGGACTCCCCACTCTGGGAGTTCCTGAGCCTGGGCTACGCCCTCATGCTCTGCCCCTTCGTGGTGGTCCTGGGCGGCATGTTCTTCCTGGCCACGGCCCTCTTCTTCCTGGGCGACCGCGCCAAGGCCGAGCAGCAGTGAGTGGGCGGGCACGGCCTGCGGGAGCCGGGGGGCCACGCCATCAGCTGGCGGGGGGCGGGGGCCCTGCCATCAGCTGCTGGTGGGGGGGGGTGATGCTGGGCGGGGCCTCGCGGGCAGCCCAGCCTCTGGGGCTCTGACTCTTCTCATCTGCTCTCCGCTCCTGTCTCTCCTCTCCCACCCCTGGGCTCTCCCACCTTCCCCTGGGGCTGACGAGGTCCCTGCCCTGCACGTCCGGCCAGCCGGCCCCCGAGATGCGATGCGCCAGATCAGTGCCCGGGCCAGGCCGCCGCTGATCCGCCACCTTGACCCCCGCCCGTCTCTCCCCCAGGGTGAACCAGATGGTGATGCCGCCCGCCTCCATCAAAGTCTGAGGCCGTGAGTGCAGGCAGGCCCAGCCACGGGAGGGAAGGGGTCCTGGGGAACCTTCTGGAAGTGGGAGCAGCCTCTCCGAGGCACCTCCTTGCCTAGGCAGCTCCCATCAGCCCCAGGTTTGGCAGGATCCCTCTACCTCAGAATGGCTGGATGGGCAGGAACCCCCCTGCAGGCTATGCACTTTCCCCTGGGCCTGGCCTCCAGGGGCTGCACTTCCCAGCAGTGCAGGACCCAAGGTCACCACCCCAGGGCCAACACCCCCAGGGCACAGAGAAAGGCCCAGTTCTGCTAACAGCAGGAGGAAGGGGAGTCAGCGGGAGTGGGACTGCCCCCCCCCCACCAATGACCTGGCCCCTCTCTCTAGGTGCCTATGGGCCGGCGAGGAACCCTCACTGTCCTACTCGGGAGGCATCTCACGGCATCCCAGCCCTGTGGGGCAGTCTCAAAGCCACTTGTGGGACCCGAGGCCAGGCACCCACCCTCTCTGGTCTGGGCCTGTGCAGTGGCCGTGGCTGCACCAGGTCGTGGCCTCGCCCTGCGTGGAAGGCTGTGTGTGTGGGAGCCACACAGTCAGACAGACACCCAGCCCCAGGGCCAGACTGCAGGGTGCCTGGCACCTATGGCAAAGGCAGCCCCCAGTGGGTGTGTGGGGCACGCCCAGCCTGTCGCCACCTGATGGGGCCCTGGGCAAGCCTCCAGCCTCCCCAGGCCGTGGGGCCGGACAGCTGGACTTTCCCACATGGCAGCTCTGAAGACCTGCAGCTCCTGGACTGGAGGGGTCTGGGCCTCAGGTCCTGGCCTCTGACCCTGGGGTAGACTCAGCCCTACCGGGTTGTGCACCACTTCCCTCAGGACACTTGTCCCCGCGGATGCTAGGCCGCTGTCTGGACTGGCTCTCCGCCTGCGGGGGAACTGACATCACCAGGGGTGAAGGCCCTGGTGGCAACGCCCCCTCCCCCCCACCCCCAGTGGGGCCCTAACCATGGCAGGGCCCAGGTGACTATTCCCAGAAGCCGCAGGGCAGCTGCCGCCAGCATCCTCATGACCAGAGGAAGCAGCCACCCCACGATGCTTCCTGTCCTGCCAAAGGCCAGGGGTCGAACCCGAGGTCAAGGCTATGCTCCACAGGGCTGTGGTGCTCCCATGCACTCCCCCGCCCCTCAGTGCCCTGCGCCCCCTCCCCCCACCGGCTGGAATCAAGGTGGCTGGCAGGAGTCCAGGGCAGACCAGACACTCCCCACGGTTAGTGGCTGGCGCAGCTTCCATGTGCACGCTGGCGGGACATTTGCTCCTCTCTGAGCTCTGGGGCGCCTGCAAGGGGGACCCCACCCCGGCCTCCACTGGGGCCCCAGCAATGTATTCTTGTTGTACAAGAACCAGGTCCAGGTGTTGTCTCCTCTTCCTTCCGGAAGCCAAACTGCTCCTTTATTTTTTAGAGCTGCTGATTGTGAATCTCAGAATCTTAAGAGAGAAGCCAAATATATTCCTCTTGTAAACGAAGGAATAAACCTACTTAAATCGCGGAGCGCTGGCTCCCGGGACAGAGCAGCCCAGGGGTGGGGGACATGGGCCCTTGCCCCTTCCTGGAGTCCTGGGGGCAAGTGGATGGCGGGAGCACTCACTCCGGGGCTGGGTGCTGCTACCCTGCAGGGGGCCTGTGGAGGATGCGTGCTGCACACGGGGGTCTCTGGGCCAGGGGCCACCTACGCTCAGGGCTTCCTGGCCTTCCTGAGAGCCTTCTTTCTCTTGGCCGTGCCCTGGAGGAGGCTGGGGCTCCTGCTGGCCAGAGACAGCCTGGCCTTCTTCCGTGGCAGCGCAGATTGCGGCGACTTGCCAGACACCCCCTTCTCAGGCACATCCTTCTGAGGCTTTTTGCCTGATGATGGCACGGGGGACACAGGGGTGGCTCCATTCACCTGGGACAGCTTCCGCTTTTTCTTCTGCGGCTTCGGGGTCTTGGCAGGGGTGCCAGGGCTTGTGGTGCTGGGGTCTGGGGCTGGCCCCTTGGGGGCAGGCGTCCCACTCTCTGGGGCCTGGGCTGGCGCCCGGGCCTTCCTCTTGTGTCTCCTCTTCTTGCCTGTGCTAGGGGGCTGGTTTCCGGCGGAGGCTGCGGGCTTGGCATCCTCCTCTGGCACTGCACCCTCCGACTTACGCTTCTTGCGCTTCTTGGTCTCTGGCAAAAACCCCTTCTTCTTCCTCTTGGTGCTGACCGGGGTCTCCGTAGCACTGGGGGCTTCCTTGGCATCCTTCTTCCCCGATTTGGGGCGCCTGGAGGAAAGCCCATGGGTAAGAAGGCGTCCAGTGGGGACAGGCCACCCCTCTGCTCCCATGGGACCAGGCTGTCCACAGCCCCCCCCAGGGTCTCCCCGGTGCCCCCATGGTCTCCCCTGTCCTAAGGGTCCCCCCCAGCATCCCCCCCAGCCCCCAGGACGCACTGCACGCCAAGCGCCTTCATGGCCTGCCAATAGAGATCGTGGAGGCGGCTGGAGCCCGCTGAGTGCTCTCCCAGCTGCCTGCCCTGCAGTACGGCCCGCACAGCGGTCAGGTCCACGGTCAGCTTCTGCAGGACAGGGGACACTGTGGCTGAAACCCTAATAGGAGGCAGGGCCTCCGCCTGGCTCTGGGTCCCCATCCTGCCACCCCTGCCCCTCGTGCACCCCTGGCTGCCCCTCCTGCCTGAGCATCCCGTCCCCCTCACGCTGTAGGGAAGAGCCCCCAATCCCTTCTTGCTCCCCACTCAGGCCTCTCCCTGCTCCAAATTCTCTCTGTGCACATGGGAGGTGTTAATTCCAAGACCGCCCCCCCCGACTCCCTGGCTCCCTCCCAAAACTTGGGGGCTGCTCTATGCGGCCCTGGACCAGGCATCTCCTCCCCGTGGCACCCTGCACGGGGGCTCTGACCAGTCCTCCCCGAGGATGCCCAGGCATTGCCCAACTCCACCCCCCCGCCCCTGGAAACCCGCGGCCCGGACCTCCCCATCCTTCCATGGAGGGTGGTCACCGGGGACCCACCTCCTGATGGACTGTCCTGAACAGGGTGTTGAGCAGCCCCAGGGAGGACAGCTCCTTCTGCTGCTCCGATTTGGCCTGCGCCTCGCCCAGCGTCCGCAGGTTCTGGGGAGGAGACACCTGACTGAGTCGCTCTGCAGGGCTGCCCACTACCCCATGGAGCCCCGAGAGAGGCACGTCTGGGGGGAGGGGTGTCAGCCCAATCCTAGCCAAGGAGCAGGGTCTGTCCCAGAGACCCACTGTGGGTGGGAAACGCGGGCAGGGACCCCACAGCCCTCACCTCCGTGACCTTGGCCAAGATCTGGCCAACAAGCTGCTCCCACTCGGGGTCCTCAAAGCACAGCCGCAGCTCCCGTGTAGGCAAGGCCTTCTGGAGCAGCATGCAGGCTTGGGCCTGGGGGAGGGAGGGGCCCTCAGTGCATGGCCCCAAAGCTCACAGAGCCATAGACAGGCCCATGGGCCCCGGGAGCTGCAGCTCTGGGTGCACCAGTCTCCTCGGGCAGGTGCAGCTGTGTCAGCGCCCAGCCCTGCCATCTGCCCAGTGCCACCGCCCTCCAGCCTCACCAGCCCCCAAGGCCCCCACCCTGGCCTGGGGACAGCAGGTCTGAGGGGCAGGGATGGCTCTGCCCTCGCCAGGGCACAGACCCCTGGCCGGGATCGGGGACATCCCTACCTGGTGGCGGGGTCGCGCCGGGCCGCTCACATGCTGGATCACGACAGGGAGCAGGCTCTTACAGAGCACCTGGGAGGGATGGCGTGGCAGTGAGTGGGGACCTAGGCCAGGCAGGGGCATGGGGGCCACGGGGGTGGGCAGACCCCCACTCACCGGGTGCCGAGAGAAGAGGCTGAGGAACATGGGGATTGTGAGCGGACTGTTGCGCTTGGTCAGGAAAGAAGTCAGCGCAGACGAGTAGACTGGGGTCACAAGGCTTAGATCCAAGCCGCCAGTAGCCTGGGCCACGGGAGAGCGCCCACGTGAGGCCGGGGCGGGGGGCCCTGTGGGGTGGGGGGGGCTCTCTCCTGGGCCGCCACTCGCCCCCAGGCATGGGTAGGGCTGCTCACCTCCGGGGCCCTGGGCTTGGGGCCAGCTTTCTCCTTCTTCTGGGTCTTGCAGGCGGGGTCGGTGGCATTACCCTTGAGGACGCGCAGCAGGTAGAGGGCCGCATTGAAGTAGTAGAGAGAAATGGCAGTATCGGCCTGGCGGCCAGCCTGCTCCACCAGCCGCTCCACCTGGGCGTACAGAGGCCCCACGCAGCGGCCCACGTCGTGGCAGTAGTGCCGGGAGCGGCACAGGTGGTGTCTATGGGGCCATCAGGGGACAGCTGGTCACACTCCCCTGCGTCACCCTCCCCACTGCACAAAGCCAGCCTACAGGCCAGATGAGGGTGACCCAGAGCAGAACCCCCTCCCTGGGGAAGTGTGGTCCACGTGTCCTGGGTGCACCAGACTCCTGTGGAACAGCGGGCTCCGGGCCCTGAGGCCAGTCTGCATGCTCAGGGCATGTGCTCAGTCACACAGCAAACTCAACCCTGACAGATGTTGGACAGGACACAGGTGGGGGGTGTGGTGACCGACTCTACTCTTGCCTGTAACCTACACTGGCATCTCCCGTCCCTGGGCCACGTCAGCACTCAAGAAAGCAAGTCTGCCCTCCCCACCTGTGTCCTCTTTCCTGCTGCCCACCCCCCACCAGAGCTCCTGCTGACACCTCTGCGTCTGGCCCGTCCCCACTGAGATACAACCCTCTGCCCCACCTGTGCCCCCAGGGCCTGAGGAGCATGATGGCTCTCCCAGGTACCTCATCACTGGCTCAGGTGCCCCCCTCCATCCCCATCCCAGAACCACGGTAGGGGGGCTGGCAAGGAGCCTGGGCCAAGTGCAAGAGGCACACCCGCCGGATCGTGGGGAGCCCAGGGGCCCGGGTCGCAGACCGCACTCACGTGAAGATGCGGGCAGTCTTGTGCAAGAGGTCCTGCTCCTGCTTGGAGCTGCTGCTGCGCATGCTACGCCGGATGATGTCCAGCAGGGGCTCCAGCAGCTCCAGGACCAGTGGGTTCTCGGGCTGCTTGGTCACCAGCACCTCGATCAGGTCCAAAGCCTGTGGCCAGCACAGGCAGGTCAGCAGGTGTGGGGTGTGCATGGGAGGGGGGACACGGTGGTGCTGGCAGCTCTCTGGCTCACCCGAATCTGGAAGTCTCGCCGGAGCACCTTCTCCTTCCGTAGCTTGTTCTTCTCATCCCTCCGGGCCTGGATGCGCAGCTTCTGCTCGGCGAAGAGGCTGGCAAGGCTCTGGTCCAGGGCCATCATGGCCTCATCCCCCAGCTCGTCGTCATCATCATCCTCACCGTCCACTGTGCCCTGAGGAAGAGGCCCGCTGAGCGGCTGGCCGTTGGTGTGGACGCAGGCCCTCCCGCCCCAGCCCGTGGCTCACCAGGGCCTTCCCCGCCTGTAGCACTGCCATGAGCTGCTCCCGGAAGCCCTGGTCCACATCCCTGTCCCGGTCCTCCTCGTCACTGTCCTCCTCATCGCTGTCCTCCTCGCTGGCCGAGTGTTTGTCGTCCTCACTCTCTGAGCTCTTGTCCTGCAGGAGCCATTGTATTGCACCGCCTGTCGCCCACCACATATCCGCCTGCCCCACTGTGCCCAACACGTACCCCCTCGCTCTCCAGCTGCTTCTCGGAATCATCCGTGACCACCACGTTGTCCTCCTCTGGGCTCTGCTCAGGGTTCAGCACCTGCAGGTTCCCCAATGGCCAACATGTCTGTAGCGCACTCTTCCCCCTCCCCTGACCGGGCCCTGTCCAGTCTGGGCCAAAAAGCTCCTCTCAAGGAGGAAATGGAGCCTGGGAGAGGAGGCCACACTGAGACCCCTGTGGCCCCCGGGGGACCACCTGCACAGCAGTGGTCTGGGCTCGGAGGCCCCTACCCGCTCTGCGGGTCACGGTGATGAGGCAGCCACAGGACTGGGAGAGTCCCATCCAGTCCCCATCTCCCCAAAGACCCAACTCACATCCAAGATCAGCTGCAGAGCACGTGGCGTCAGGTGTGAGCAGATGTGGCTGAACACGGTCCGGGCCACCTGGCGCATCAGGTGGCTGGGCTGGGCCAGGAGGGCCAGCAGGATCTCCACCAGCACCTCCACCCACGGTGGCTCCTGGGGGTCTGCAGGTGGGACAGCTGAGCCTGGGCAGGTCCCCACACCCCATTCCACGTCCACAGGGGCCCAGGATGTGCCCTGCCCCCACCCCAGGGCTGTGACCCACTGGCAGCCTTGGAGCGAGTCCGGCGCGTCTTCTCCCCTAGGCTTTTCTTGATGCAGGTCTGGATGTCACCCAGAAGATCGCAACTCTCCACAGGGGACTGTGGGAGGGTGAGGACCAGGTCAGAGGCCGGCCCCACCCCCAGCCTTGCTGAGCCAGGGGAGGGGCCAGTAAGGCGGGCACAGTGGGGGGAGGCACAAGGCCCAGGTCCCTCACACCCAGGGCAGAGGAC